GCAGCTGCCTGGCAGCGCTTCTCCGGGCTGCGGGGTGGGCTGGCTGGAGGAGCCCTTGCAGAGTCCTCGCTCCAGTCTCCCCCCTCAGGGGACGTTTCGGGTTCTCCTGGGCTGGCTTGGAACGTTTCCATGCCCTCTTTCCGAGGATGCTATTTCTGGGCTCTGCTCTCCATGGTCCCAGCGTAGCTGCTCCGCGTGCTGGTGGCAGCTCCGGTGACGCCGCTAGCGAGCGTCTTGTCCTTGAATAACGCCGTGGTGGCACGCGCTGGGTTGGCGCTGGCTAACGGAGCTGGGGTGCATTACTCGGGGTCTCCAGGAGGTCCTCACTCAGCCCCCTGTGCTCTCCCGCAGAGATCGAGGCCAAGTACACCCAGAAGATGGAGATGCTGCGGGACAAGCTTGACTTGCGGAGGAAGACTGAGATCCACGAGGTGGAGGAGAGGAAGAACAGCCAGATCAACGAGCTGATGAGGAACCACGAGAAGGCCTTCAACGACCTCAAGAACTACTACAACGATATCACCCTCCAAAACCTGACGCTCATCAACTTGCTGAAGGTACTGCCTGTCCCCCTGCCGCAGCCCGCCTGGCCTGCAGCGTGTCACCCTTCCACCAAGGGACCCGTCCTGTGAGGATTTGCCCAGATCTGGCCAGTTCCCAGGTGGCAGCGTGGGTGCTGCTGCTCTCCTGAGGGTTGTCCACCCTTACACGAGCGAAGCTCTTGAGCAGAGGGAGATGCATCTTGCTGGGCCAGCAGCGGGAGGGTGTCCAGACGGTGTGGGAAGCTCCGAGGAGCTCGGCGGTCCCCACTGCATGGCCCCCTCCCCAGGAGTTTGCATTCCCAAGAACAGGAGCAGATGGAGGAGATGAAGAAGAAAGAAAATCACTTGGAAAAGGAGAAGGCGGATGTGCTGCTCCAGAACAAGCAGCTGAAGGAGCCTCTGCAGCAGGCCGAGGAGCAGGTGTCTGAGCTGCAGAAGAAGTTGGCCCGCTATGACAAGGACAAGGAGGCCCTGATGGTGAGTGGCCAGCCCTGTCCGTTCCCAAGTCACCCGGCTGTTTCCTGGAGGGGGTCGCTTGGCTTGGCCAGGTCGCTGGGCAAAGTCCTTTGAGTCCCTTTCAGCTTGGCCACGTGTTTATAAGGTCTCACACAAGACTCTGGCAGCGGCAAACAAGAGCATCCCCCACTGCCGAGGGGGAAGGGAGTCAGTGTGGGTGCCAGTCTGTTTTTTCTCGCCCTTATCTCTTTGCTGGTCGTTCTCCTCCCTTGCCAAAGCGCATTCCCCACACCTCCCAGAGAAACCCGTGCTGTTAAACTGTCCCTTCCCGCCTGCAGAACACAAAAGCCCGTCTGAAAGTCACCCAAAAGGAACTGAAGGACCTTCAGTGGGAACACGAAGTGCTGGAGCAGAGGTTCAGTAAGGTGAGAGCTGCAGGTGGGTCTGGGCATCCCACTTCCCTCTCCAAACCCTGCCCCTCCGCAGAGGACTGGGCACGGGGGGGACTTAGCCGAGAGCCCGTGCTTAGCCGAGGGCTTTCCGAAGCTCTAATCCAGAGCTGTGCGATAACTGCTGCTTCCAACAAAGCTTCTCACGGCTTTGGCCTCTCCCACGGTCAGCAGACGGGCCTGGCCTTGTACTTTGCCAAGCAATCATGCACGCTCCGGCGGTCCCCTCCCGGCCTGCCAGGGACTGACCG